TGTTCTTCCCCCTTCAGAGAGAGAGAGAGAGAGAGAGAGAGACTCACCTGTTCCAGAATCTAATACTCACACAGTTAGGGGCCCAAATCAATGCTTATGATCAGTGGGGTCCAGGCTGCCTTCCTGGCTCTGACAATTCTAGATGGTTAGCTTTTGAGAACAAAGACTGAAAGATGAAGGTTGACACTTCTCTGCAGCCCCAACACATGCAGCTTGGCTGGTGGAGTCAGGGAACAGTTTCACCTTCCTGAAAAAAAGGCCCCCCCGAGGCTGGGCCTGAGCCCTGTGACCACCACTCTGTCCTATAGGTCTGGTTCCAGAACCGTAGGGCCAAGTGGAGGAAGAGGGAGCGCTTTGGGCAGATGCAGCAGGTTCGGACTCACTTCTCCACGGCCTATGAACTGCCCCTCCTCACCCGAGCTGAGAACTATGCCCAGGTAAGCCTCCTGCCTGGCTGCCTCTTCCTACTGCAGGCATGCACTAACGATGGCACCCTAGAGGAGGGCCAGGCTCCAGAGATGGCACTCATGAATCCAGGCTGTCCTTCAGTTTTGCCCCAGGTGTGTGGCTGTTTGTCCCCGACTATGGGAGACCTCGCTGGCCCAGCTGTGAAGCCAGTGTTGGGCCAGTGCTTTCCTCTGCCGCATTGGTTATTTTTGTGATAAGTAGCCAACCGAAGGCAGACCAAAGACCAGGGACCTCCCAGGTGTCAAAAGGGAGTTCTAAGATCTGGAGGGCTCGTGGCCAGGTTGGAATGCTTCTGTAAATCTGGACTCAAGACAGACATTCTTGGAGTTTTAGACTTGCCCCACATGTGATTCCAGCTCTCCAAGCCTCAGTTTCTTCACCTATAAATTGGACATGATATGAGTATCTGACTCCTTTGTAAGACAGCTGTACGGTCTTGATAACAGAGTGCTTGGTAAATCTTAGTTTCCAGAAGGCAGCTCGCATGGGCTTGCCTGCTGTGTCCCCTGCCTTCCTGCCATATCTCCCCACCTGTCCATCAGCCGGGACTCCTGGCCAGATGTGCTCTTGATCAAGTCTACCCATGACACCTCTTTCATGATCTCCCTCTGCCCCTGTCTCCTCCCTTCCTGCCTGGGCACAGCACTAAGAGATGTCGCCCCTCCTCCCAGCTCTGTATCTCCTCTACCTCCCCCAGGATTCGAGGGTCAGAGGACAGAACAAGAGGTGAGGCTGAGGAATGTGGGGTGTCTAGTACATCTGCATCAGCTCCTGCCACATTCTTTCATGTTCTTCCTCCCCTTCCTCTCTCCCCAAGCCAAGCCTCTTCTGTCCTCCCAGGACAAACCTCCAGTCCTTGCTCTTTGCCCCTGATGGCCGTCATCTGAGCTCAGAGCTGAAGGGAGAAAACCAACAAGAGGACTGGCTACTCACAGGCCCACTTCCAAGGGAGGTTGGTGGTGGTGACCAAACCTTCCTGGGGCATGCTGGGGGCAGTAATGAAGCATAGTGGGTCTGCACACAGGTGTTGGGGCCAGCAGAAGTCCCCGTGAACCTCAGGCATTCAGTATCCCCTCAATCCTTTTAAAGGTCTCCTTGAGTTCTTTCCAAACCCTTAGGTACGGGCAAGCCAACAGATGCCTGTTTGAGGCCACTGAGAACCTGAAGTAAACAGTTAAGAGGTGCATAGTGCCTTCTTCAAATGGGACCTGTGTACCCCACATGCACCTCCTTGCAGATGTTAGAGGGTAGAGGAAGGTGAGGCCAGAAGTGGAAGCTGGGAAGAGAAAGGAATTAGTAATGGAAGAGAAAATGCAGTCCCCACCCTGGGTCTAAAGCTGCCTCTTCCATGAGGGGCATGTTGGGAAGCCTCAAGAATTCTTTCTTGGAACCTCAGCAACTGACGTAGGCCTTGGGGAGCATTCAGATGCCTGCTTCCCACAGTGACCCACACCTAACCCCCAACCTGCAAGCCCAGAGCCTCTGTCCTCTGCAACATGCACTCTACTTGACATGGGTGATGTTTTTATTGGACCTTTTGCAGTTTGAAATTCATTCCTTTTTACTGAATGTTGGCTGCTGGCCTATCCTGGGAATTGAGGCTCCATAGCATAAACCCACGCCCAGGGTGTACCTGGGCATCCTTAAGGTTAGATATCCAAGAATGGTTTCATTATAACAATAGGCAGGTGAGAAGAGCAAGAGCACCTTCCACACCACTGCTTTCCCACCTGGCCTGTGACAACTCTCCCTTCACTGTCCCCAGATTCAGAACCCGTCCTGGATTGGCAACAATGGGGCTGCCTCACCAGTGCCTGCCTGTGTGGTCCCCTGTGACCCGGTGCCTGCCTGCATGTCCCCTCACGCCCACCCCCCTGGCTCTGGAGCCAGCAGTGTCTCCGACTTCCTGAGTGTCTCTGGGGCTGGCAGTCATGTGGGCCAGACGCACATGGGCAGCCTGTTTGGAGCAGCTGGCCTCAGCCCGGGCCTCAACGGTTACGAGCTGAACGGTGAGCCGGACCGCAAGACCTCAAGCATCGCAGCGCTGCGCATGAAGGCCAAGGAGCACAGCGCGGCCATCTCCTGGACCACATGACAGGGCCCCTCCTGCCAATCCTGGTGTCCTCCCTGTCCTTGGGGTCCTGGCCATGCCCCTGCTCTCCAGGCCCCCAGCTTCCCACTCCACTCTCTGCTTAGGAACCTGGCCTGGCCTAGGGGCCTGGCCCTCAGCACTTTCAGCCACCCCAAGTCTGAGGCCCTGGGGGCTGCTGGGAGGGAGGAGTTGGTAGGCCCCTGCCTCTCTCTTGCACTGAGGCTGTGACTCCTGCTCCCAGCCAAAGGCAGTGGAGAAAGCCAGGTGACCCTGTGTGTAGCTTTGCATCCTATAAGCTGAGGCCTTGTCTCCCATCATGCTCCTCTACCACTTCCATTTGACTTGAGTCAAATTTGGTCCCCTTTTGGACCCAGCAGCTTCAATAGTTCAGGCTTGTCCACCCTTCCTTTTCCTGCGGGGTCCCCTAGTCACCAGGCCTATGGCTGTGTGTCTAAGGAGCAGGCCGCCTTGTAGAGTTGACAATCCCCCCTTCTTCCTGAAAGCATGTGGAATCCCCCTTCCTGGTCCATACTCACCTATCACCCACTTGTCCAATGGGCCTTGTGGCTGCAGCCTGGCTGTCCCCGACAATGGACACACCTGGCGAGAATGGAAGGGGAAAGGAGAGATTAGAGCTGAAAGACTGTTGCTGTCCATCCAGAGATGTGGGCCAGACTTTTCACCCTGAGACTTTGGCTCTGTTTGATGCTGTGGGAGTGGGGTGCCAGGTGTGAGGGAAGCTGAAGACAATACATACATAGCAGGAGTCACTGCCCTTCCAGGCTGAGAGGAGAGCTGCTCTCCTGTCACCCTCCACACCCTCTTAGAGAGCCTATCCTTACTTCTTCCCCAGGGGCCAGCAGCATATCTGCCTCGGCTGGACTCTGGAAGGTTCCTGTCAAACTCCAGGGGCCTGCTGCTCTGTGGCAGGTGATCCTCCTGAAGGCAGTCCTCCGCCTGAGAGAATGGGCTCCCTGTCTGCCTGACTTGACTCTGAGCTAGGAACTAGGATTTGAAGTAGCCCCAGTCCTCATCTGAGCTGGCACAGAACCCTCCCCTTGAGGTAGGCCCTCTTAGGAGATAGCCTCTCTGGAGGAGACACATCAGCCTATTCTGCCTTGACTCTTGTCAGGGAGATGAGTTGGGCCCACTAGCCCAGGGTCCTGCTCACAGAATGACCTCAGGTTGAGCCGAAGACTGAGGACCCCTGGCTTGGAGCTGCTCTAGCTCTCAGTGGGTAGGAGGAATCACAGCCCCGCATCCGTGTCTTCATTGTTCTCAAATCTGAAGCAAGATCCGGTTTAGCCTCTCCTAGTAAGAGGCAGACCTCTTCAGAAACCATAGCTCTCAAATAGATCTGAGGGAATTGAAAGGGGTCTTGGACATTGAATTCAGTGATCCTAATGGCTTGGCTTTAACGTTCTAGATCTGGGCCCATCTCAGGAGTCCTCATTTCTAGAGCGAATTCAGCTAGGTTACTCTCCCCAGAATTTAGCAGGGGAAGGAAGAACTTAAGGTCAGGGGCAGCTCCTCAGAGCCCTTCATCATTACTGTCATGGATAAGGAAGGGCACACAAGGAAATGACCTCACATCTGAAAGAATTAGTACAAAGATGGAGAGAACCAGAAGAGGAGGAAAGGAGAGAGAGCTTTCAGTGGATACTTCTGAAAGGGAACCCTGATAATTCTACTAGGTTTGCTTTCTGGTCAGGCTAGATTTCAACCCAAGAGTTTGAGAAAAATAAGGTATGTAGTGATCACTGCTTGTCCTCCAACATAGTCTCCCTCATATCTCCTCAGCTGCCCAGTTCTCCAGGAGAGGACTATGGGACCCTGGTATCTCCCTAATGGATCTGTCTCTGCCACTAGGATGATTTGCAGGTAACAGAGCTTTCCATGGTCGCCTGGCTTCCTAAAGAGCCAGGTGTCACTCAGGCACAAACTGGGGAGAGAAGGCTGTACTCACCAAGCCGAGCAAGGTGAGGGCTGCCTTTTGCTGTTTGCCTTGACAGGACCACAGAGTCCAACCAATGGGCAGCTGCAGCTGAGGGGGTCATGCCCAGCCTTGGTGTACCACAGGAGCAGTTTGGCCTTCCTCAGCTCCATACTGAGGTGCTGTCACCTCCACCCAAGCATCCCTTCCTCTCCAGGCACAGGGGCTGAGGTTCTGGGGCAGACAGGCACACATCTCTTAAATCTCTCCTTGAATTGTTTTAATTCTACTTGATTCTCAGTTCTTACAACCATGCCTCCACCTTTGGGAAATAGGATGTGTGGAGACTGGGTAAGGAAGCATCAAGAGTGATGGGTTCCCCAGCATGCACTGCTGGGATCATATTGGACCTAGCTCTAATGCCCCATCTCCAGTCACCTCAGCTGGTTTCCATGAAAACCACCATGCGCTTTTGCACAGTCACTTGCTCTGTGCTATCAAGGGTCAGAAGATATCCATCAAGGGTTCCAGATCTATCTGATTGTCAGGTACAGAGACAAACAGCAGGTGGATGGTAAGAGGCAACCTGTCCAGGGTGCTAACCATGATGGTGCAACTTAAAAACAAGACTCTCTTGCCTCCCCTCAGCCTCACTTTGCTGAAAGGATGCAATGTGCAGGTGTTCCTGGTGGGCAATATTTCCTACCACCCCTCTCCTTCACCCTTCACTCACACACATAGAGCTAGGCCTTTATACTACTGATTTTGAAGGACAGTTTTCAAATGTCTAATAACCTGTTTGGGTGTGCAGTGGTCAGAAAAAAAAAAAACTGCATGCAAGAAGGAACATGAACCTCAACCAATATGGCCGTTCTCATTTGTAAGATACTTTAACCCTGTATAAATGCAACTTTTCCTTTAGCTTAATGGCCTGGGGTGGAATATTCAAATATATATATATTAAAAATACATTTAAAATTTCAGAAAATGTAAAAAAAAAAATGAGGTCAGGTCCATAAAGTTTTACTGCCTATACCACCATGTAACTACATTATAGCAAAGTATTAAAAGAAACGTTCTTGCCTTTTAAAGTAAGTTATTGCACTTACATGTTTTGGGGGAGGGGAAGAATGTGGGGAGAAGGGCACTTGGGGGCTGAGGTGGGGTGGAATGCAAAGCAGAGACAGCACTCCCAGCACCCCTTTTGGTGGGCACAGCCCAGTCTGTCTGTTTGGCTGTTGTTGTTTGCAATAAACTTCTCCTTCCTCCTCTCAACTGGAGTCTGTCTGTTTTGTTCCTAACTTATGACAGATGAAATGTGATCAGAGAGGCCTCTGAAATCTCACAATAATTGAAGTCGGCAAAAAATACTAACAGTGCCCTTTTGAACTGCTGACACAGTGCAGGACAGGTTACCAGACTAGATTAACAACAGGTGGCCAGCTGATGCTCCTGCTTAAAGAGGGGTGCATGGCCTGAGACAGTCTGGGATGCACCCCCCCCCCTTGCTCCTTGTGCAGCAGGCAAACTGGAGGGGGTAGGGATAACCAAGCCTGTTTGGGCTGAGCTCGGTACACACCGTGCCTCAAGAGCTTCACCAGCAGCTTTTCATGATGTCGTCAGTGTTTCCAAAAGCTGTTCTGGAAGCAGGAGAAGAGCCAGGGCATACAGGTCCTGTGACTCCACACCAGGAGTGCAGAGTAGAGCTCTAGGAGAAGTGGGTCCCAGGCCCGCCTCTGGTGGAGAGAACTCAGCGATAGAGGGAACTTTGCCAGCTGGAAGAACAGACAGATGAGTCTTAGAGCCAGCCTGTAAAGACAGAGGGTGAAGCAGAGGGTGGGTACAGGAGGCAATTCAGGAAGAGGCACTGAGTCCCTGGGCAGCCAATATGTGGAGAGGGAGCCATTTTGGTTGGCCAACCCAGGCAGCTCTCAGTTCTGTTGTCTGAGGCATGAGAATACACCCTGTCCCTCTCTAGTCAACCAACTTGTGGGGACACATAAAGGATGTTGGCTTTTCCCAGCTGTCCTTCTCAGCCATTTTTCCCAACTGTCTGAACACTCGCTTAAAGTCATACCTCAGCAGGAAGAAAGTCTGTGTGGCTCACATGATTTCAGTTGGGCCTAGAAACTTACTTTAGAAAAACGACAGCTCGCACACATTAGGGGTCTGGCACAGTAGCACTTAGACCTTTACCCCAATTTATGACCAAGCCAGAGGGCAGGAACTGAGACTGGGACAGGAAAGACTATGCATCAAGCCACATGGAAGCCATGGTATGCTCTCTGTCACCCATACCTGCTTATTTCTTGGGAGCTGAAAACCTCCAAATTCCAGAGTCCAGACAAGGGTTGCAGCTCCAGGGAAGTCTGGCCAGGTGGGAAACTGGCTGTGCCATGCATCTCTGGTGATGGAGGGTGCCATACCCATACCTCCCAGTACAACTGTCCCTTCATCCCCAGGACCTGTAGGGACCAAAATCCAAGATGTTCAAGCTCCTTCTAGAAATAGTGTAGCTCCTCCCAGCCTACTTTAGCCATCTCTGTCATTAGTAATATGCAATATGATGTAAATGCTAGGGACATAATGCTATACTGCACAGTGTCAGGAATGAGAAGATAAAGTCAGCATCTTTTTCTTCAATAAGTTTGCTCCTCAGTTGAATCCGCAGATGGAAACTTGAAGCTACAGGAGTGCTAACTTTAGCCTCAGAGGAGAGTGAGACCAGTGGGGTTTCCTCTGACTATTGATCATAGCTCCAGGCTACCAAGTACGGTCCCTGTCCTCCAAACCATCAGACCTTTCATTTGTTCCCATCACTCCATCTGTCCCCATGACTTCCCATGGTTTCTGCCTAGAATGTCTCTGTTCCCTCCTGACTCTCTTGCACCCAGTGGACTCCCATTGATCCTGCAGGTTTCCTCCAAGTGGCAGGCCACTCTGTGACAGCCTCTACCTCAGGTTAGTGCTTCCCCAGAGCTGTGTGCAGTACCAATCAGCACAGAGTGCTGTGGGCATTAGCTCTTATCTGCACAAGTCACATATACCTAAAGGCCCTCAGATCAGGCTGTGCTCATATCAGAGGAGTCCCAAGTGAGTAAGTGAGGCTTGGATCTATAACTGAGGGTGGGTAAAGGTCAGAGGAGAGTCAGGACATACTTTAGAGAGAACCAGAATGGGCTGGGGATATGACTCAGTTGGTAGGTGCTAGCCTAGAGTGCATGAAGCCCTGGAGTCCATCCTCAGCGCTGCATAAACCGGAAGTGGTGGCATATGCCAGTGATTCCAGGAGGATCAGAAGTTTTAGGTCGTCCTTGACTACAAAATGAGTTTGAGGGCAGCCTGAGCTACATGAGACCGAGAGAGAGAGAGAGAGAGAGAGAGAGAGAGAGAGAGAGAGGGCCCCCGGTCTGGGGTACCCAACGTCCATGGAAGGGCACACCCCTGAGCTACATGAGACCGAGAGAGAGAGAGAGAGAGAGAGAGAGAGAGAGAGAGAGAGAGAGAGAGAGATTGAGAGAGAGATATTGAGAGAGATATTAAGAAAGGGAGGGAGGGAGGGAAGAAGGGAGGGAGGGAGAGAGAGAGAGTCAGAAGCTGACCCAAGCCTCTGGAGACAGCTTGGGGTGAACTCAGAGCTTCGGCTTGACCAAGAACCATGCCTGCGGTTGCTCTAGGCTCCCTGTGCATTCCTGAGGAGCTATGGTCTCTTTATTTATTATTCCTGGGATTGGGCCAGCCTGTGGTCAGCTCCTCAATACAGCACACCAGTCCTTGATTCATTCAGAGCCTCTGCTTAGCCTTGCACCCAAATCTTACTTTTCTGTCTCCCCTAGATAACCCTCCACTCTGTAGAGAGCTCCTTTCCTGCCCTGGTGCCAAGCCCAGACAAACCTGTTTTTGCCCAGTGCCTCCAGGCTTGCTATAGGTAACCTTGCTAACCCAGGACACCATGAATTTGGTTGGTTTTCAGACAGTAGAGACCTCACTGTGCCCATAGGAAGTGGAGTAGGATGTAGGGGCTTCTCTTCTCTTCCTACAGGCCCAGATTTGCATACTCAGCAGCTAAGGAGAAATGGGCCCTCTGCAAATAGTCAGCTCCCCAAAATAGGGCTGACTACTGCCCCTGTATGTGTTCATGGCGAGAGGATGCAAGCCGGCGCCAGAAGACAATGGGGTGTGAGAGTTGAAATTTTCCCAGGAATTCTGTGTGATTTCAAACAGATTTTTTTTTTCTTTTAGCTCAACAGAGACCAACAGGCTTGAGGAAGGGCAAGCTTGCATACAGCATTCCGGTTTACAGCCATGTGCACACCATGTGTTAAGGTGTTGCCTTGGCTGGTGGGGAGCAAACCCACTGTGGTGCTTGTGTGGGATCTCCCTGGAGCCCTGATGGGCTCAGTTCTTAGATGTTATGGGGGGGCAGGGACAGTGTCCTTGCCATGTCTACTAGGATGTCTGTAATTTCCTCTCAAGCCCCCTCCCTATCTCTTCTCTGTGCCCTATCTACAACGTACCACTACCATTTCCAGGCTCCTTGGAAAAAGGCCCAGCTACACAATGGGATGAGAAAAAATGAAAATTGAGAGAAAAGGGGGGTGGGGCTGTGTGCTGGTTGAAAGGATGGGAGCAGGACAGAAGGCAGAGGCAGCCCATACCTCCTCTCCCACATAGTTTTACACAGAGAGCTGTGTCCTGAGGAGAAAGGGTTAAAAAGCCCAGGAGTCACAAGTGGCTGAGGGCAGAGCTGGGTTTAAAGGCGGTCTGTGCAGAGTACCAGTTTTGCTGCTGTAGGCCAGCCACTAAAATGCTTTCGCTATATTTTTTTCCCCCATCAATAAAGTGGAGAAAACTGTTTTCTGCTCCTCTCAGAGGGCAGTTAACAGAGTCCAACAGTTCAAAGGTTTGAACACAGTGCAAAGGTTTAAAGAGCAGTGCAGACAGGTGACACCATGCATCCTGGATCTAGGGAAGGGCCAGGGGTTTGGCTTCCATCCAGGTGACTAAGGTCAGGACACCAAAGTGGAGGGACCATCACCAAGTATGTCACTGCACTGTGATATTGTATTTCTGGGATAGGGGACAATGCAGTATGTCAGTCTTCGTGGGATGCCATAACTAAATCCTACACACTGGGTGACCTAAGCAACAGACATTTAGTTCCTCCCAGAGGTAGAGGCTGGAAGCCCAGAGCTTGAATTCTGGGATAGCCTCTTTCTCTGACTTGTGGATAGCCATCTTTATGTCCTCATGTCCTCTGTGCAGGCAAGTGGAGGGGCATGGCTCTGCTCTCTCCTCCTCATCTCCAAAGAGTTCTAATCCTGCTGATGGAAGGACCCGCTGTTATGACATCACTTCACCTTGATGATCTCTTCAGAGACCAACAGGCTTGAGGAAGGGCAAGCTTGTAGACAGCGCTCCAGTTTATAGCCATATGAAAACAGTGGTATGCAGGTGTGTATTGTGTGTGTATGTGGGGGGTTGTCAGGGCTTCTGTATGTGAACAGAGGGTGGTAGATAATTCAGTTGATAACAAGCAGCATGGCCAGTGTGTGTTGTACAGGTGTACAAGTGGCTGCTCATTCAGGAGCTTGGGGGTTCCAGCAAGTTCTCAAGGTGGCCTGATAACCTCTGGCTTAGTGCCTTGTCACTTTCTTCTCAGTGTCAACCTGTTCCCAGTCTCTCCCTGCTCCACATATGGTCAGTATTGATGCCAATGACCAGCTCCATCCATCCCCAGCTAGAACCCTAGACTGAGAAGCCTCCGCTCTGCCCACAGGCTGTGGTTGTAGCTCTTTAATTTCACCTTTGTGAACTGTAGGTATCAGCCTGACTGGATTAGGGGATACCCAAAGAACTGGGAAGGCATCCCTTCTGGGTGTGAGGATCCTTCCAGAGGAGCCTGGTGTTAGGAGTTGGGAACCCAGGGGCAACAACTCAAAAAAGAATGAACAGTGATGCTTTAGCCATTTTTCAATTGAGTTTGCTGTTTTAAAGTACCAGTTTAAAATGTAGAACTGGGGGCTTAGAGAGATGGCTCAGGACTTAAGAGCGCTTACTATTCTCACGGAGGATGTGAGTTTAATTCCCAGCACTCACACCAGACAGCTTACAAACAACTCTAACTCCAGGGGATCCAACACCTCTGGCCTCTGCAGGCATTGCACACACATGCACATACCCCCACAGAGACACACACAACTAAAAAAAACCAAAAGTAAAAAGTACATTGGATGAATTTGGACAGATTATATGCATGTAATGGATTACCA